GGGGAGGTTTAGATTTGATATCAGGAAGAAATTCTTCCCAGAGAGGGTGGTGAGGCACTGGGACAGGTTGCCCAGAGAAGCTGTGGATGCCCCATCCCTGGAAGTGTCCAAGGCCACGCTGGATGAGGCTTGGAGCAACCTGGTCCCCATGGACGGTGTCCCTGCCCATGGCAGGGGGGTTGGAACTAGGTGATCTTTAAGGTCCCTTCCAACCCAAACCATTCTGTGATTCTCCAAGTTCATTGCTTAAGGGAAAAAAAACCAAAAACATTTGGATGTTAAGGCTATGTTTGGGAACTGTTGGCTAATTAATAGGCTCTTAGCAGTGCTATAACTTTACGTATTGAAGGAGAAGGAGCACTCCCTTGGGAAAACAAACATGTACGCTTCCGTTCTGCTGCTCGTGCTGCTGGCTTTGGTTTGTCACGAAACTCACTGTCCGTGAGATCTGCTGTGAGGTAACTTTGCCATGCATTAACTTTGCATGCCGAGCTCTGGCTCCTGCTGGGCCCTCCAGGCACTGCCAGTGCATCTCGGGAGCATCATCTCTTGGGAGAGGGGTTTCCCCCGCCCTCAAATACTGCTAAACTTCCTGCCAACCTGCCAGGCTTGACTCACTGCCTAAATGGTGATTCTGCTGGCACCTGTGAGTTACTGACATTGAAATCCTACTCGGAGGAGTGAATTTGAGAAAATACGTAAAATTATTGGGGGTGGTGGAGTCTTATTGCCTCTAACATGCTTTTTGTGACTGATTTCCCCACACTGTCTGCTAGCTACCTGCTGGGCTTCCTGAAGGACTGCCACGTAAAAGGGTAAAGTAATTTGGCAGAAAACAAACCCACTTGCATTCCAGCTTCGGAGCGCATGCTAAGCGAGGGGCGGTCGCACCTCGGAGCCGGGTAGCGTTTGGGATGGAGGTGTGTTTTGGTATTATAAGGAGATTATAATGAGCAAAGTTCGCACTAAGGACAACATGTTGTCAAAAACTGACAGGCTGTTGGCCCAGGGTGGCAAATATGCGGCTGATCAGTTCGTAGCACCACAAAGTTCCCATCTCTGCGGTGATTCACAGAGCCTGGCCGCGGAATCTTCACTCCGCTCTACTCTCCGTGCTGCTGTGCAGGCAGTGTTGTTAAGGGAACCCCCGCGGCGTGGGATCCTCGCACACCAGCTGCACCTGCACGCCCCTGAGAGCCCCTTCAGTACCATGCCTTTTCTTAACGTGGGAACAATGCCGGGCCTGTCATATACATTTAGTTTAAGTCACCCCCAGTAATTATGCCACATATTCCACCTGGTGACTGTAGTGACTCACGATGTTTAAAAGGGGTTGGGGAGGTCACATACCCTTGCGCGGTGAGGATTATCAAGTGCACGTGCGTCTTGTGGGGATATCAAGCGAGTTAAACATCTCATTGTAATCCGGAGTTTAACATTCAGGGCAACTGTCAAAGCAAAACACAACACCTTGAGTAGTAGTTAAATGATAACAGGGTGAAGCATCCTGCATCCTATTGAAGATTCCTGCAGCAGTTGGTGACTGTCCCAGAAGTGTGTCCCACCATCCACGTCCTCTGTTGTTCCTGACTTTCTCCAACACCTGACGTATTTCTTTGACATCGCGATGGGCAGTAATTAGGGTCCTTTGTCCATTTGCTTGGGCCTGTTTCAACAACCACCTCAGGTCATCACGTCGTAGTAGTTTCTTCACCAATGTGAGATTCATTCCCATAGGAAAAAGGGATAAATCACCAGTCAGCCTGTAGTTAGACTGCAGCAGGTGGTAAGATGTCACCAGAGCTGAATAAGTAAAATCACAGCCTACCGTTTTTGTAGAGTTACAAACACAAATGTTTGAGTGATTATTTGTACCTACAGCACCGTCATCTACAACTACAAAATTACACAAAGTTCTCATGCAAACACACCCTTTTCCAACACACACAAGTAGAGTTTCTTATAACATTCCTGGGATGGCTTGGAGTTCAGCATCTGAGGAGAGTCGTTCCCACTCCCTTCATCTTTGGAACATACTTCATTTTCTTGTATCACTAGAGTTGAGACATTTAAATCCCTTTTGGTTTGTGGTGTTCTGACGCTTGCAGTGTATCATGGCAGTGCATGATCCCAAGGATCATTTCTCAGTCCTGTTGACCACAGATTGAATGGAATTGCATTGTCAGGTTGCAGCGTCATCAATTTAACTTGCTGGTTGATCATTTTAATAAAACAATATTAAGGCCATAATATTGTTTAACCATAATATTAAGGTTGATCATTTTAATAAAACAATA